GTCTGTTATTACTTTGGCGCAGAAACTGCGGGATACTTCCCCAACATTTAACCTTCAGCCCTGAAGGCACAGTCTGGAATAAATTTATAAGCTTTGGACTGAGAGTTGGTTTTTCACTAGACTCCTGCTTTCAGTACAAAATTGGGAGAAAAGGGCTGAGAATTAATAACGGCATTTTGTCTTTCTCAGTGCAAAAATAATCTTACAAATAAATTTATACTCGGACAAAAAAAGATCGGATTATTTTAGGACTACAAATAGAATTCTTTCACTGTTTTGAATGGAATCAAATATAGCTGGATTATCTATTTATTTTAAAAAGTGGAAGGCAAGAATGCAAGTTATATTTATTTCAGTATATATTTATTTATTATTTCAGTCTATACACAAACTTAGTTTTTAAAATGTTGTTGTTAAAATTAAAATTTAGCGCTTTTCATCGTTATTTCGATGTTACATTTCAGCGCTTTATTATTAATAATAATTAAATTTTAATTTTAACAACAACATTTTAAAAACTAAGTTTGTGTATAGACTGAAATAATAAATAAATATATACTGAATTTTAACACAAACATGACGCATCTAAACTATAAACTATAAACTGATATTTATTTATTTATTTGTGGTTTATTTAACGATGCTTTAAGTAGCACAGACTGTAGGTCCACAGGCTTAGAAGAATTCGTTGATTAATGAATAATAAACAATGGCTGTGAAAGATACGGAAGGATGCAGTCGTGGCCTAATTTAATATATTGTCCCGGCATTTAAATGGAAGTACTGAGGAAAACCAAGAGAAACGTATTCAGGATAGCCGAAATTCGGGTTGATATTTGAAGCCGGGATCTTCGTCCTATATCCCTCTTCATCACAAATAAATTTCTGTTTCCGATGCTTGTTCATCGACAGTATATAACGTTTGCACTATAACAGCGTTATTAATTAACATAGCATGAATAGATACCACAGTCCAAATCTTTCGTTCGGAGTTAGAATAACTCGCAGTTACCAAGTGCCAAGATCATTAGTTAACTGGGGAGTCCTTTGTGATCACAGGCAATAGGAAATGAGTTACCTGGCTGTAGAGTTAACATCTCTTGTCTGCAGGGAACTAGCCGCTTCACTGCCAACGTCAGGCAACTCGTCCTTCCTAGGAAGTTTTTCGTTAAGAAAACATTAATCTAAAAATTAATCCCACAATAATTGAAGTGATAATTATATCTGTAAATACACGCATACTTGTATTTACGTGATATTTTATATGCAGATGAGACACATAGCCTGGCGGTCGGCTGATTATCCGTCAAATGAGCTCTACAAATGTTTAAAAGAAGAATTGGTTCATAAGTTTATTTTAAATTGAGACAGGATAAAAGACCGAATTTGTAAAAACTGAATAACATTAAGACGAAAGCATATGGAAAAGTGGTTAAGTAACCCCGTGTAGCAGAGCCATTTTTGGAAAGTTTTCGGCTACTTAGATCGGATCTAAAGGTTCATTTTCGAGTTTGTAACATTCCTCCACTTAACCCTATCCTTCGGCACTTGAACCACACTTTTCTATCACATTTTATTTCATTAAACCCCATTTTAATATTATCCTTCTATTATGGGTCTTCCAAAACTATCTCCCTCATTCATGACTTGCGACTTTCCACTGCTTAAATTTTGTACCTCTTTCATTCGTGCTACATGCCCCGTCCATCTCACCCTCCTTAATTTGATCTTGCTCGTAATGTTTTTCGAGGCGCGTAAATGATGGGAGATCCTCTTCCAGCCGACCAGATATTATTCTTCTTCTTTTTTTGTAGATATTTTATCGGTAATTTTCCTGACTATTTCTACTGCAGTTTATGTTATGCACATTAGTTCTACTTATATTATAATTATATTGAACTTACGTACGAATTTAGAGATCTAATATTTCTTCTTTTCCGCTCTGCACCAACACGTCTGATCTGTGTAACAAGATGGTATTTGTAAACTTCTGTTTTAATTCTTATTAAAATAGATTAAAATATTAATTTGAAGTATATATTCTACAATATACTATGTTAAATTATGTTATACGTGTCTTTTGTATTATTTTGTTTTTAGGTGACATTACCATTTCTTTTCTTAGGGTTTTAAATTTATTACGATCACCTGTTTCATGCGTCAAAGCATGCTTTCTGAAACCGTTCCTTCACATGGCTATGTTAGGTGGGTAACAATACGACAGAATCCTTTAATGATATGGAATAACTATGATTAAGCTTACTGGGGGAAATAAAATATTTCGCAGAACGTTGCATTTGACATTTTGATTTACATGTGAGATTGATACAATGCAACTGACATGGAATAAATAAATAAAAAAAAACTATATTTTTTTTAAATGACGGTGCTTTATCTCGAATTTTTCAGTCACTTTCCGTTTTGTATCAGCAAATGTTGCTAATATATTTATCATGATCCTTTTTCATTACATAAAGTGCTTAAATTTGCATTTTCTCAAGGGTACACTTGCTGATAAGCGACTTCACTTGCTTCATCTAGTTTACGTGTTGAAGCAGACAAGGGGCAGACTGAAATATAAATTCAGCAGAAAGATAACTTGCGACAGGTGGAAACAGTGAAAATAAAGAAAGTCCCATTTTTACGGTCCAGTATATTGCGTTCAGACCAGTAAACTTTCTACACTTAAAAGAAAATGAATTTGTTCTGCAAAGGAGTGCGCATATTTGTCAAGTACATTATTTGTTATTCAGACTACGCCACTGACCTTGAGGTTTATGCTCAGATCTCAATACTGCAAATCTAATCAACGTGTAGGTATCACAATTCACAAACGTTTCAAGGTGAAGATTTACATTTTAAGACCTTTATATTTCATGAAATATAACAACTGTTTCGACGTTGAGATGTTTCTGACAACAATTTGATACAATTTGAAAGTTTCTGTATTCTGGGTTGTTGCGCGATTCATCGCCCTGATGACGGAGGCAGTATGACCTCTGAAACGTTGGTAAACATCTACCAGACTACACAGCGCAACAGCCCAGAAGACAGAAATCTTCATACTCACCGCTGTGAAAACCTCAAATCTTACATGATACAATTTGATATGAATTTTCTGTAAAGTAAAGGTTATTGTTAGACTGACCTGAACAACTTATCCTACAACTTTCAGATTGGACAACAAATATTCACATAAACCCATCATAACATGCCGACAGACTAACATAACTTTCTCTATGTACCACCTCCGTATGAATACTGCACGAGAACGCATACAAATTAAGCTACTCATAAATTTCATGGAAAAGCCGTCACTACGCTGTTACGCATTGGTGTGTAGCAAGGAATATTACCGTCTGAAGTCTGAAAGGGTTTAACAAAACAATCTTCTGGAAGGGTGTAGCAAATACTGACTTAAGACACTTGTTTCATTCGCACCTTGCCCGCCTTAAATCCCACATGAATGTTACTTCTATTCGCTATACGTAGCAGTAACATGAGCTGTGTCAGAAACTGCTCACAAACCCATTCCATAGAACAGAATGTTCAGGAGTTTTGGAAGTTTCAGGCAACATAATAATAGGAAAGCATTTTCGTGGTTGGCGTTGAGGTGTGAAACGTAGGATAGCGCAAAAGAGATCTACGACGCATTCTGTAGGCTACAGGCTAGTGACTCCCTCTGTTTCTTTACTTCGGCTGACTCTCGATGTTATCCTAACTGGCAACAGCTCTTAAATTTGCCGCCACGAAAACTCGGCCTTTGTTATTAAAAAAAAAATAACAGTGGAATAATGTTATATTGACGGAGAAATCAGAACAAATAAATAAACGCCCCCGCTTCATGGAATCCGAAAGATAGACACAATGTTCACAAAACTTAGCACCGGAACCTTCTTTCAGTTAGAAGGCTCCAGCTCACATCCGTTGGGAATAAAGGCGCTGTTCACCTTATTCAAATTTAGTCATGGGATCAAGTGTGATGTAAGTCGGTTTTGTCACTCCCATTTTGAATTCTATGCAGTCCATTAGTAGCTGAGATCACAGCTCTTGCCTGAATCACATTTATTTCTCTAAAAAACCCGGGATATTCGGTTATCGGTTCTATCTTCCCTTTCTGCTGAATATCAATTGAACAGCTGTCTATCTGAATTCCTTCTGAAGAACCACAGAAAGAGCATGAGATGTAATACAGATATGAAAAATCTATGCCATCCTATAGTACTGTATCTGCGTGCCATAAAACTCAAATAAATTAATGTATTGCAAATTATATTTCATCTCCGAAGAAACTGATTAAATGGAAACTGGTATCAGAAGTCAAAAATAAAGCCAATAAAATATACATTTTACACGAATATAAAACGGATCTTGATTAAGTTTCTCAAAAAAATCGTCATACAAATTATTGGCACATCCCATAAAATAATATTGCATTAGAGTCTACCACATGTATTTGCAATATTTTTATATTATTTAATGGAACATAAGGACAAGTAATTTGTAACTTATGCAGAAAACCACAGTCATTATTATGAATATTGTTGATGGATCTGAAGGAAAGTGACCGCTGGACTTAGATGGGGAGGATAATATTAAAGAAGGCCTTAAAGATATTATTTGTGGACTTGATTAAACTCGCTCACTTTTGCGATAATTAGCAGGCTTTTGTGAACACGGTGATGAACGTTTTGGTTTCATGAAATGCGGGGAATTTTATTATCTCAGCTTCTCAAGAAGGACTCTGCTGTGTCAAGTTATTTAGTTAAGGTCTATAACAATTTAAAACGAATATACCCTTTCAACTGAAAACTGAGGTGCTAGGTGTAATTCCTCTAGTGTCACAGATTTGGTTTTATGTTTACTGGTGTTTTGTTAGCCCCCGCCATGTGCTTCAGGTAAGCATCAGACGCTTTCATGCTGTAAAACGACGAATAATGTTCGAGTATTCTGAACGTGTTGGTGCAATGGTTCCGTTTTATATCGACACACCACATGAGCACTGAAAGCACACAGAATGTGTTCCTGAAATTATTAAATGATGCTTACAGTGTATGAAATAGCCCATAATCTCGCTACTAAGTTCCCTACCGCAGAAATCGAGTATAATCGGTTGTGCAGATATTTATTTTCGTTACCGGTTCCATATTATTTCCTTAATAATTACTACATCATACACGCAGTTATCAGAGAATTCTCGGACTCAACATTAGCCATTGTTTCACGTATTTTATGATTAAAATTGGATGTACTACTTAAATTAATGATGGTAATTAGCTTCCTGTCATGTTGACAGAATGTAAGAAGACAAAAGTACCAGGCAAATTTTTACCACACGGATTTGGGATGAACTTTAACTATTTAAAACCCAGTGGTAACTATATGTCCCACCGGCTTTAACAATCACTAATTGAATATTTTGTATTTGTGGGACTTGTAGGCTTCTAACTGTAACAGAATTAACCATTTGATCTTTGTAATGGCAGAGTACAGTGTTTTCTTTGCGGTATGAACTGAAATCTTGCATATCATTTGGACGAGCTTCGGCTTCGAAGGTTGAACGAAAATTTTGGACGAAGGGGGCCGAAACGGACAGCGTAGTGGGGTAAATCCATGACTGCTGGGTGATGGCGCTTTCTCGGCTGGCTTGGTGCCTGTTTGCGTGTGTCCCAAGCAATAAATTTTGAACCGGTTCATGAATTTTCATCATGCTTGGTATGAACATCATCGTCCAACCATTTCAGACAACCCCGCCTTAGTACTGCTTAATTACCTGCCAAACGAAATACGACGCTCCTTCTAATTCCTTGATGCAATCGACATTAGCGCCACTTCATGCAAAGTTCTGAAATTTGGTTGGCAATAAATCTTCGAAAAGTATGAAACATTTATTATGCGTTCGTGTTTATGTAAAACGACAAAATTTCCCCCATTCGTTCTACAGGTCAAGCTAATCTCACCCTTCATTTAATTCATCTCAACGGAGCAGAATTCTACTTAACATGTCTGCCCTGATTTAGCACATGTTACCAAAAAATACAATTCTATGTTATGAGTAAAAAGAAAAATATGTTGTAAAGATTTTATTAAATTTTCAAGCTTGATGAAAGAATTTCTGGCGTATATAAAATAAGAGACGAAATTACAGTGATCGAAATTCTTGGTAACCTCAGTGTTACAATTAACGGAGGAACATAACAGTATAAGTACCCTACATCTGACAAGATGTTGGAATGTTTGTTGAAATTTAAGGTTTATTTTAAAGAGTGGGTGACATTAATTATGTCGATCTATTTGATTCTTGCTTTAAAGATCTAATTTCTTTAAGTAACCTTTAAGCTTTTAATCTTGATCAAACTGCATACACGACAATTCTGTTACACTATTATCACCGTGAGTGAGGTTAAGTACTTGAATTTATTAGGGGTCACATTACTTAAGAAATCAAGCATAATTTGGGTGTATTTAGCTAAGAATCCAATTTGCCTGAGGGAACAATATTTCACATAAAATATGTACGTTTCCATATGTTCACGTTTTGTCTGACACTGTTTTTGTATCTTATAAATCTTACTAACTCTTAAAAAGCCACATCGTTCATAAAACATATATTGGGTTCGTATGTGATGAGAAAAGGATTATAAACGTCTGTAATTGTCCGACGTCCGTTTGATTTACAAAGCATTACAAAAATGGCAAATTCGCTTGATGAATAAATGGACCTTTTGCTGCCACGCCTTGGGACTGTTAACATGAGCCAATGTAGGCAGATGAATTAGACGTGAAATTACGTCAGTAGATTCAACACAAATTCATTCTCGCAGCGGAGAATCCAATCTTTTGATAAAGGACTTGAAACGAGTTGTGCCTGTTGCCTAAATCACACGGCGCTCTCAAACTTGACACATGGCCGGTTAAACTCCTTCTAAGAACACCAAAACTTCTGTCTGAATCTTGCCCT